CGTTGCGCAGTCAACGAATCTTGTTGAATTTACCGTTTATCCTTGTCTATCTTATTGTCACTCTGTATAATTCCATGGTTACCGGAGTTTTTAATGTTACGTAATAATGTAAATTAGGCTTATTACCTTCAAAAACATTGCTACCGTATTTCAGATAAAGTTTTTTGTAAATTTCTTAGTTTTTAATAACAATTAATTTATTTTACTATTTTTTCTGTACTCCTATAACAGCGCCAGACAACACCTCCAAAGGAATCACGCCAATTTTGAATCACCCTGTATTGAGAGGAGAGCGATACGAGATCCTTAGATTGATCATGCAACGAAAGATAACGGAAATAAGGAAAATTTCATGGTTGACAAGTTTGAAGGGTTGGTTTGGTTGTAGCTCAATAGAAATTTTCAGAATATCGGCAAATGAAGTAAGAATGAGCTGAATGAGCCAAGAAATCTGTTCTTGGTAAGAATTAGTCGGAACTTGTCAACGTGGTTCAAAATACAGAACGATTAAGGCGAACATTTAATTTCGTGGAATAATATATACAATTTATATAATTTGTGATTGCAATTTAATTATATGTATTAAGTATATTGGATATTATTTTATGATGCGAGGTAAAGTGTGGTTCGATGGCATGGCAGTGGTTGCATAATCATTGCTAAAATTGATTTTTTTGCAGTGGAATATTTCCAAGATCAGTTGCAGATAAGCGCAGGTCGCGGTCGATTTTAAGCAATTTTTAGTTAGTCCGCTGGAACTACAGACATTTTCTTCAAAAAATTATGTTCCTATATTTCTGAATGTTTTTTATACAGAATGCAATTCTCAAAGCACATTTTTTGAGCAAGTTTGTCATTATTGTTAAACAGTTTTTCCACCTCGTTAGATTAGCGCCGGGTGTATAAATTCTTAGCCGCCTGGAAGCCCAGACTTAAATCCTGTTGACTTTTCGATTGGCTCAACAAATCAATGTGCCAGAATCTGCTGCTTTGTTCTAAGAGTGAGGCACAAGTTAGTAGCAACCAACTACAGAATCATCTAGAAGTTTACTAATTTTAGCCAAGATGAGTGCTTATCTCCATCCATACCAACTTTTAACATTCAACATTCAAATTGAATTTTTTTATCCTGTTGAGCCTACAAACAAACCACATTGCAAATATTTATCTTTGAAAACGAACAAGAACTGAACTCCTAAATCAATAAGAAAATTCTCGTATTCCTGAATTCGATCAAACCCCAACATTATATAGATTCTGACGTTCCCCTGTTTCTGTCCTCTCAAATTCTATTATCTCGAGAAAACCTAAAATTTGCCGTCAAATCCAATACCAGTCATATTTTCAATTTCAGCTATTTCAAAGAAACCCATCTCACTTCCAAGCGAATAATTGTCATATGGCCAATCACAACCAGTAAAGATCGCTCACCTGAAAAATCTTCCCTCTCTGCCTTGGTTCATAAGCTATTTATCGTGCGTTGCCCGGGAAATTTAAAGATAGTAAACACACAAAAAACGGGACTATCGATTTTGCGTAGGACGTCTCAAGTACGCAATATCAGAAATCCTTGTACAACATTCAACAGGGTAGGGTGTGTCCCTTGATTATGTTTACCCTTCAATCTCAATATTTTTATATGCTGGACGTTTTTAAGGGCATGGAAATGTCTTTTGTAAACAACAACTCTAAATTACTAAATTATGAAAATGTTTTTTTACATTACTGTTATGCTATATTTTAATACTTGCATCAACTATAGTATACACACGCTTTTCCAAATACTTAGTTTGGAATGTGAAATCTACTAAACTGCTCCACTCAAACTTTACATTAAAAAAAGTCCTTAATATTAATGTGCTGTTTCCACTAGTTTTCATTTGCTTTATTCTTATGCTCTTTGCAATTATTACGATCTTTTACACTGAATTTCTGAATAGCAATAGACGTTTTTTAACCTCCATGCAGATGAATTCCAGGTTCTAATTAGAATCGAACATTCCAGAATCCAAATCTGACCTCAAAAATGTTTTCGTTATTCTTCTAAAAGCAAATATTTTTGAATCTGTTTGTTGTGTTATCCTTCCCCAATGTCTTTTTACTTGTGATGTTACTGAGCCAGAAATTCCTGCTGGTAGGGATAGAATTTAAAAGGATGGAAATTAATTAGACGAAAATATGAAGTCAAAGTCAGCTACAGACAGCATTCTTCAAATTTTGTTCTGATATTTTATTGCGCAGTTTGTTTCGCTGGATTTATATTATAAATGCCGTACTGGATCTCAAAGAGAATTGGGAAAGTTTTTGTACTTAACTCCACTTTCAATCGCGTGTAAACTTGGATAAATATGGTTTTCAGCATTACTGCCTATAGACGCGATAATAAAATCGAAATCCGGCGGCTTTATTTTGAATCTTACGTTTCCAATTCGTGAGTGTGTAATTCTGAAGTAAGTTAGTTTAAGTGTAAATGTAAATTATGGACATAATATATGAAATTCGAGACAAAAACAGGTTTTAACCATTTTTGCAAGCCTATTAATGAACATTGAATAATGTACTCGTCTAACTTTTAATACAGTATTAAAGCCTATAAAACCTTAGCCAATCGTTATCAAATTGCCCTTTTGTGTGCATTCAGCATCTCAAAATGTATTTAAGTTTTGCATTTTTTTTTAAACTTTAACTAATAATTTCATTGCTTAGTATTTAAAAAGCCCGATGATTTGAAAAATGATAATTATTTCTTTGCAAATATTTATGAAACATGAATGAATGCTTTATTATGAAAACTACCCTTTAAATTTTAAGACTCGAGAACAAATCGTCAAATATACAATTTTTTATATTTTCGTTATTTCCTAGATGGGACAAAGCACCATAGAAAAGTCATGTTTATTTTAAATAGAAACGAATATTCTTTTGCGGGTGTTCTATCAATTTAGAAACTGCTTCTTAGGTTCTTACCGTCCGATGTGACTCTAGATGTTGTAGGTATATATGTGTTTCCCTAAGAAAGTCCGTATGTAAAATGTATGTCAGCATACTCAGCAAATAAAAAGTTTCTCATTTTC